CGGGGCTGGGAGGCAGCGAGGCCACCGAGGCGTTACGGGGTGTGCGGGTGCCCGGCGGGATGCAGAACAGAGCACAGGGGGTGGATTTCATACTGGGGTACACGAATCCCCCCTCAGAGCTGCTGCCCCATTATAGCGTTAGGGTTGGGGTTGGCTACAAGGTGCCAAAATCCCAAGCCCCTGTGATTTTGGGTTTGGGGACACGGCCGTCGCAAGGAGCGGGGGTGTCCCAAGCCCCGCCGGGGGTCTCCAGCCCTGGACCCTTCCCTCAGAGGACACCCCGGAGCCCAGACCTCCCCTCCGCTCCTCCAGCGCGTCACCTACCGCTCCGGGGACCTCAGCCGGAGGCTTTGGCGGTCACGACGCCCTGCGAAACGCGGCGTGAGAACCGCAGCCCTCGGCTCACCGGGGAAGCGAAGCTCCGGTGGTGGTTGGTACTCGCTTGGCCGGAGGCCGCCATGGTGCGGCGGGGCCGGGCGCGGGCGGGTGGCGGTCAGGCTACTGGGAGCAAAGCAGAGACGGCTGCCGTGGAGGTGACGGAGAGCATCTGTGTGGCAAACTCCCCCCTATCGCATCGTTACCGAACCCTCCCCAAATTCCAGCTTGAATTAAAATCAGTCCCCAAACGCGCTCCCCAGAATTACGCAGCTTTTAAAATCTCTGGATTTTCCCCTTTAACCATCACCTCCGGGGCGATGCCACCCGCTGCTACTGCAAGGGTATTTGGGTGCAGGGAGCCGTATCGGGGTGCCTCCCCCTCGCCCACCCACCTGCCAGCGTGGGGCTGACCGCGACGCCCTGGAGCCGCGCTGGGACCATCCTCATCCTCCCCAGCGGTGTCCAGGCAGCTGCGTGGGTCGTGGGGCTCCAGCGCGGGGCCGACAGTCGAGGCCGCTCCCGTGCCTCCGGCAAGGAAGGGCAAATAGGCAGGAGTTTGGTGCCAGACCGTGCCGAAGCCTCGGCTCCGGCAGAAACCGGCTGCGTGGCTCAAGCAAGTTGGCTGGGGTTTAGTTCGCACCCTCTTACCTGAACGCCCGGTTCGTGCTCCCAGCTCAGGTGTGTACAGCTCGTCCCCAGGCCGGGCTTTCCCCCCGAAGGACCTGGGGTCAAGGGAAGGAAGGTTTCTCTCCTGGGTGACGCTGGGAACTCGGCCGCGGAGGAAGGAGGGGCAGGACGGCCGCTTTCCTACTCACGCCTCGCTCCCCCAGCGCCGTGTCCCGCTGGCGTGGGGCAGCGTCGAGCGAACCCGCTGCTGGCCGGGGGCCTGCCAGGATGGAGGGACGGCCTGGGGCTTACACGCGCCTGTCCCTCTGCCCACCTAAGCCGGGTGCCTCTCTCCACCAGCCCCCACCTGGGGTGTCAGCCCCCAGCACCCCGATCTGCCCCGCGCCCCCAGGGTGATGCTCACCGGGGCGGGTGCCCAGCCACCCCGGCAGGAGAGGCGGCCGTGGAGGCAGAGCTGGTGTTGGATGGCATCGGTCAGCTTGTGCACGACCCGCTCGCGGGCGGCTCTGGGGGTGTCCTGCCGAGGAGAGCGCCCGCGTGGGCTGGGCTGGGTCGTCCCGTGATGCACGGGAGGGTCCGGCCTCGGGGTTTTCCCCGGCGTGCCTTACCTGGCAGTGGGAAAGCAAAGTCAGGGCCTCCTTGTAGCGCCCGACGGCTTTCTGGGGGTCTCCCAGGTGGAAGCAGGCTGCTCCCAGCCCCTCGCACGCTTGCCACTGCCCCTGCACGTCCCCTGGGAGGCGAAGGGCAGCGTCAGCGCTGGCCCGGCACGTCGCAGCCGAGCTCCCGGGGAGGGAGCATCGCTGATGCCCTTTGGATCCGGCACACGCCCGGCTTGAGGCCGCTCGGCATCCGGATGCTGCAGAGCCCCCGGCACAGGGACGATTTGCCCGCGCCTCCCCTTACCCGAGTCCCGGAAGGCTTGCAAGGCGTGCAGGTAGTTCTCTGCGGCAGCCTCGTGGTTCCCGAGCCGGCTGCAGGCGTACGCCAGGTTACCGAAGCACTGCCCCTGCGCCCTCCGGTTCCCTAGAGCGCCTGGAATTGGGAACACGGGGCTCCATCCCGAGCCGGCACATCCGGCAAAGCCGAGAGCAAGAGATACCGGTGCGACCTACTGTGCAGTGCCGCCGCTCGCCGGTGCCAGCCCAGGGCCGTGCCGAAGCTGCGCAGGGCGTTGTGGGCAGCACCCAGGTTCTGCAGCAGCGCAGCCTCCCTGCGCCGGTCTGGCTCGCCGCCGCAGAGGGCAAGGGCCCGCTCGAAGCTCTCGGCAGCCAGGGAGAAGATGCGGAGCTGGGAGTAGCCGAGGCCGATGTCGTTGTAGAGTTTCCCTGCGGGGCAGAGAGGAAAAGCTGGGTGCGGGCGCTGCTCCCCGGGGCTCCGAGAGGAAAGGGGCGCAGCGCGGCGTTACCTCGCAGGGCTGGGTCGGGGATGCTCTCGCAGAGCGAGCGGCACTGGGCGAGGACGCCCGCGATCTCCACCGCCCTGAACCGTCGGCTTTGCAGCATGGAGCCGCTCGCCCTGCTCAGAGCCACCGCGGTGGCCTCGGGGCTCGCGGCCGCCGCGTAGGTCCGCGCGGCATCCAGGAAGCAACGCGCGGCTCGCGCCGGCTCCCGCATCCCCAGGTAGCAGCAGCCCATCTGCACGCGGGTCCCTGCTCGGCTGCCGGCCTGCGCCGCGGGGTTGTGGCCGGCGGCTTTGCCGAAGCACTCCAGAGCCCTCGGAAAGTCCTGGAGCCCTTCGTGAGCTGCGCCGATGTTGAAATAAAGGTCCTCCAAGTGCTCCCCGCTCTCTCCCTCCGAGGGCTGGGACTGGAGGAGGAACTCAAGGCCCTTTTTGGGCTTCCCGGTCTCCACGTAGGCAGCCCCCAGGTTGAAGGCACAAGCCCTGCGGAGCCGGGGGCTCGCCGTGCCCCCGGAGAGGCGAAGCGCCTTCCTGAAGCACCCCACCGCCTCCCGCGCATCGCCCAGTGCCAGCGCCCGGCGCCCGGCTCGCGTGAGCCCCTCGATCTCGCCCAGTGCCAGCCCCGCCGCCTCGTCCCCTCCCTCCTGGGCATCTTCCCCGGCCTCCGCCTTCTCCTTCCCTTTCTTTCGGCTCTTCTTCCTGACCGCGGGGGCCGCGGGCTCTGCTCCCGGGTTAGCAGCCTCCTCCGAAGCCATGGGCAGGGTGAGCAACCTGCCTGCAAGAGAAAGAGATGCAGCAGGCAGCCCAGTCCTGGGATTTCTTGAACCGAGCAGCGTTATTTTACATTATTAAAAAAAAAAAAAATTAGAAAAAGTCTCGTAGCCTGTTTGCTGCTAAAGTTTCAGGGAGGAAAACGGCCTTTCCATGGAGGACCCCAGCCCAGGTTCTGCACTCCGTGCTTGCCTCCTGCAAACCTTTGTGGCTGCCAGAGAGGAGGGGGGTCACTGGTGGAGGAGGGGGGGACACCGCAGCACAGGGTGGGTGCTCCCGGGTGTCTTTTTGGGAGGCAGAACAACCGGTTGCATGCACTTACTGTTTGCTCTTTGGGTGGAAAGGGTGCCGAGAGCGTGGAGGGGAGGGAGAGGGCATCACCACCGCTTGCAGCCGCGTCGCTGCTGCAAACCGCCGCTCTCCAGATGGGGAGGGAGGGTGTCCGGAGGGCCTCCGAGTCCCGCTGGGGCTGGAAAAGCACCCGGAGCGGGTCCAGCCCCCCGGGCGATGGACGCCGGTGCCTGGGGCCTGGTGCTGGAGCACAGACAGCTTCTGGGCGCCTGGAAAATGTCGGGGTCGTGCATGGCACGCACCAACTGGGACAAAGCCAGGTCTCCTCCCGGGGAAGGCACGTTCCTGCAATGGCTCGGCTGGCTCCGGTTTCACCTCCGTCACCGGCACGGTGTACAGTGCCACGGCGACTTGGTTCAGTAGCGCCGGCGTGAACCGTGGGTTGGATGGCACAAGAGCCCCTCGCTGTCCCGGCGAGCTCCCGGCAGGCGCTGTGGGCTCGTTTAACGGGGGGCACGTTCAGGGTTGGGACAGATTGGTGTATGGGTGTGCTGCGGCGAGGGTGAAGGGCACCCTGGGGTGGCCGGCACACCCTGGGGTCCCCCAACAGCCCCCGTCTGGCCCAGCCCGGGTGGGGAGACCCTGGTGCGGCCTGGGGGTGCCCCTGCTGGCGGCCGGGTGCCTCCGGTGGGTGCAGATCCCCCCGGGGTGCGTGGGCTGGTGCCTGGCTGTGCCCTCCCCTGCACCCATGGGCTCCCCTTGCACCTGGGTGTGCCCACCCCCTGCACCCCAGGATGCTCCCTGTGCCCCGGGGTCTCCCCGCACCCCGGTCTGTGCCACCCCCACACCCATG